GGTTAAAACCAAAGAGTAGAGTGAGGCTTGACTTGGAACCTACAAGAATGAATAAAAGTTTTCTTTCTTTCCTGAATCGAGGAGGTTATGTAAAAGCCTTACTTTTTAGCTGAGAGAGAAATAAATAAGCCCAAGGGTCGTATCAAAGAAAATAACAAAAAGAATTTCAGTCAGCTTTACGGTAGTAATAAGTAGTGCAATTATAGGGTGAGTCCGAAATGGAAGTTCGAGATAAAAGATTCAAAGAGGTCATTGCATGATCATAACTGCCTATGGGAGAAAAAGGAGAAACTGGACACAAGCTAAGATCAGAGAAAAGACATAAATCAAGAAGAGAAGGTAAATCATTAGAGTTGTCATGATAACGAGTCACAAAGTTAACTATATAAGCAAGAGATTGAGAAATGTAGAAGTTATAGGTTTTAGTGCAAGCAGGGTCAGTAGCATTTGAGCCAGGCTTTTCAGTTGGATGAGCATTAAAATCACGAATTACAGCAATATTGGCAGAGGGTAAAAAAGAGTGGGCATAGTCGATTGGATCACTCTAAAAGATTGCAGTTTTGGGAAGAATTAGATCAATAAAAAACAAAGAGAAATAAGAAAAGAAAAAAAAAGAGTGAAGTGGTGCTTAGTGGAAGCATATAAACGATTGATTAAAGGATTCGAACCTGATTTCACAAAAAATAGGTGAATTGCTGCGCTTGTACAGCCCCAGGTCAAGCATGTGACTATTGGAGTCTTTGCAAATCAAAAGATAGTACCCTTAAACACTGAGATCTGAAAAAAGAATTGTACAATTTAAATTAATCTCACTAAGAGCAAGTCTGCTGAAAAGTGACAAGATTTAACTGATGAAAGGTTGCATCGCAGATCACAGATATTTGTAAAAAATATTCTAAAACCGTTAGATGTTAGAGCTTATTTTTTATGTTTAATAAATTGAGTTACTTTTGACATTATTTAATTTTAAAGAAAATATGACTTATTCATAAATATAGCACAAATGCATAGCTCATTGCCTCTTAAGCAATGAGCTATGCAATTGCCTCAGTCTTGCTAATTAAACCCTAATTCATAACATGGTGGTCTTTATGTGGCCTCGACAATTATTTACAAAAGCATTAACAGGGACACTATCCATGCACAACATAGCACTTTTAATACTCTGATATCTTTCAGCTGTTGATGGAATCAACCTCTCTGAGAGCAACCACAGAGTTCGAGAAACTATACTACCAGCCGGCCTCAAAACCATTAAACTGAGTTTTAGAGATGTACTCTTATTAGGAGTTTACAGGAAGAGTTGCATAGCCACTATTAAAGAGTCACAACCAAAAACCTATGAGAAGAGTCAAGAAGATCCAGTATTCATCTATCTAGGCAGAAAACATTTTAACACAGGTTTACATCTATGCCAGCCTAAAAGATTAATAAGGGTTAATAATTTTTGTGTATAAATATTACCTAACTAATTTCTAAAAATACTCTTTTATGAAAAAAAAAATTGCATTTAAAGGCTCGAAGTTGGTTAGCAGAACTTTTCTGCTAGCCCCTAAATATATATTAGGTATGTAAACTGATTTTTTTAAATTTTCTAAAAACTATAATGTCATATAACATTTAAATACCCTTTAAACAGTATCTTTAATAATCTTAGAGTTAGGGTATATATGTGGGTTGTGGTAGAACACAGCAATTTATATGAATGAAAATTTTTATTTTTAATAAATTTTTTTATTTTTTTATTTAAATACATATAGAAACAATATAAAAATTATTTATCCCTTTACAACATATGCTAGTGGTGTATATGTTGAGTTTAGGATGAGGGCGGCCCTTTTATTTCAAACCTAAAAAAAAAATTATAAATATGATAATTTAAAAAGAGAAAAATAATTACGAAAAGTAAATTACTTTATAAATTATATTGCCACTTAAAAGAATTCATTCCAGATTGCTAATCAAAATCAAGAAATTTCACAAAAACTTTGTCTCTAGTTTTTCAAGCTACACAACTTTATCTGAATTTGTGCAAGCCACAAAACTTGGTGTACCAATTTTGAAAGCCAACCATTATTTTGCAAGGGCTTTAAAATTGACAATAAAAAATAGCAAGTATAAAATAATGAGCAAAGGAACAAAACCAAACTTTGTCTTAAAAAAACTGTTAAAAACCTGTTGGAATCTAAATTAAATTGTTTATAAAATAATATATACACTTGCACAAAACATTCGAATATTAAATGGCTTCAAATATATTTATCAAATAGGGTACAATACATTTCTTTTAGCTGCGGAGATATTATTAGTATAAATATAAACTGTGGGGTCTCCCGAGGGTTAATTTTAGGACAACTTGTATTTTGTTCATTTTAATGGTTTAAGCAAATCGCGTAATTTACTCGTCGTTATTTTGTATGCTGATGATTCAAGTTTTTTTCACGCTTATCATAATATAAAAAATGTTGTTTAAATCAGTTAAAAGGCAACTATTAAAACTTATATAATGGTTTAATGCAACTAAATTATTAATAAAATTAACTAAAACAAAGTATACTCTTTTCTATCGCTTTCATGCACGCGACAAAATCCTATTAAAACTTCTAATACTTTGTATTGGCAGTCAAGCTATAAAAAGAGAACGCTCATTAAAATTTCTTGGCGTACTCCTTGACGAAAAAGTAACTTGGACAGATTATATAAATTATCTTGAATGCAATATCTCAAGAACTATCGGCCTTCTTTATACAGCGAGGCCTTTATTATATCAAAGTTGCCTTAAATTGCTACATTTCTCATTTATTCATTGCTATCTGAACTACGCAAGCATAGCTTAGTGTAGCACAGATCAAAACAAATTTTTTATTATTTCATAAACAAAAACATGCATGTAAAATATTATTTAATGTAGGCCGTTTTACGCACATCAAAAAACTATTTTGTTAAAGCTAAATACTCTCAATGTCTACCAACTAAACATTTATCATCTTTTAATTTTTATGTTCAAATATAATACACATCTAACACTTTTATTTGTTATTCATAATAAGTAGTAAAAGTTTATAATTATTGATAGATATTTAACCAGATGCTTAAACAGCACTTGTATTCACCCCAAATGTTTTTTGCATCAACTGAGTTTTTAATATCTATTAGAATAGCAAAGGTATGCAATAAATTTCTATCTAATAAACTTGAAACTCTAAACAAATTCAAAGAAAAATTGAAGCAAATACTTCTGGCTAATAACAGAATGCGTGACTTCTGGGTGAAACAGATAAGATTTTTCAATTTATTATAAAGTTTATCTTTATCAACCTAGTGTCGCTTAGGTTGAATTCAGTGTTGTTAACAAGGCCAAAGTAGCAAGGCGAAGGTCAAGGTTAAGGACACAAGTTACAAGGCGCCAAGGTCAAGACCAAAATTTACAAGCCAAGGACAAGGCCAGGGCCAAGAGTTTTAAGGATAAGGCCAAGATTAAGAGTTTCAATTCCAAGGCCTACGCAAACATTTTCGAGACCAAACACTCAATTTTTACCTTAAGTTAAGGCAAATTGTTAACAAAAATGTAAGTATTAAGTACTGTGATAATAAAACCACATTTTCTAAAAATAGACCAAGGTTAAGCGCAGAATTCAACAAAATTTATTAAAAAAAACATGTATTTTTTTTAAGGCCAAAGCCAAAACAGTTAAGGCCATGGCCAAAATTTTCAAGACCAAGACCAAGGTCTTAATCTTTGGCCTTAAGGCCAGGCCAAGGCCAAGGGCAAACAACTCTGGGTTGAATCATGCTTAAATAGATATTTTTTAATATATGGATAGATTTAGGTCCTTATAGATTTTGATTTTGACAGAAAATATTAATTTGAATTTAAATTAAATACTAATTAATATTTGTAGTAGTAATAATATTAATTGTTATTTATATTATTACTATTTTAATCTTAACTAGTTAACATCTTTTTGAATTTTTTAGTCAGATTTTAGTCAACATTTTTTTTTTGCTGCTTTGTAACTTTTTATTTTATTTTATTGCAAGTTATATGTTGTGCAAATTTAATTTTATTTTTATATATTTTTTCATTACTTACGAATTTGTGATTATTCTTTTTACAATTTTTTGTTTCTTTATTTTAATTCAAATTTTGTTTGCTATATTAAAAATATGGATCAATTAAAGTCTTTAAAATTTTTGATATTTTTTTAGTAAAATTATGGTTATTTTTTTTTCTCTTTCTTTATTTACTTGCAACTTAAAGTATTATCTTTATAAAAAGAAAGTCTTTTTTTATGTATATTAGTAAAAATTATATAAGCTGTAAATAATTGTTTATCTTTTATGAAATCAATTCTTTGAAGTTGGTAATAAGACAAAATGTGTCTTCTTTTTGCTTTAACCATCTTTATTTATATTGAAATATGATTCCCAGCAAACAAGAAGATATCTAAAATGCATCTAATATGCATCTAAAAACTGGTCTAAAAGATGTCTAAATTCAGGTCTAGAACGTGACATAAATAGACGTCTACCTTATAGACGTCTTTCAGATGCATTTTATTCGACACAAATATTTGGCTTAGATGCATAAAAGATGTGAAATATACATCTTACAGATGCATATTAGATGTATAAAATACGTCTCTTAAATAGATGTCTAAGGCGCGTTTAAAAAAGATAGATAATAGATCATTTTTTTTAGCTAATAATAGCTCTTTTATACATCTAATATACATCTTTAAATGTATTTTTCACATCTTTTATGCATCTAAAGCATTTATTTGTGTCGAATAAAATGCATCTAAAAGACATTTATAAGATAGACATCTATTTATGTCCCGTTTACGACGTGAATTTAGACGTATTTTAGACCAGTTTTTAGATGCATATTAGATGCATTTTAGATATCTTTTTGTTTGCTGGGACTTGTTTGATATAAAGGTTTTATAGCGGTTAAATTAGTCATAAAAAATGATTAAATTAAATAAGTAAAGAAACACTTTAACTAAAATTACTTAATTTTATTTCACAAAAATATACATAAGAAACTATATTTCTGCATTGCCGTCAACCGTCTTCCACGTCGCCGATATCTAAAATATATACATTAATGACATTTAAATGACTTTAAAAGACATGTAGAATTCTGAATAATCTGTTTTTATGAATTATTATATATATATATATATATATATATATATATATATATATATATATATATATATATATATATATATATATATATATATATATATATATATATATATATATATATATATATATATATATATATATATATATATATATATATATATATATATATATATATGTATATATATATATATATATATATATATATGTATATATATATATATATATATATATATATATATATATATATATATATATATATATATATATATATATATATATAAACAAGAAGACTTGTATCTCAACAAGATACAATAATAAACAACAATTGTTTTATGAAAAAACTAAAGGAACTTGTATTATGGATACAAAAATTCTAGCATTGCACAAAAAAGTCGAAGAATATCTTTTTAATACAGATATCAGTTTTGTAAATACTATTAAAACTATACCTCGTAAAACACTCCATATATTTACTAGATTTTCTAAGTTCATCTTTTCCCCATTTCCTTTTCGATTTAATATGGACTGTAACTGATTCGAAAATAACCTGATTAATATTTTAACAATAAACTGAAATATATTTATAAAGATTTTTATTTTAATATATGTAATAAATTAAAATATATTTTAATATATGAATGCTTAAAATTATGAAAGGTATAAGCATTAAATTTGAAAATAAAATGCTAAACAAGGTTTAGCATTACACTTAGCACACAAACAAACTTAAACATTAACTATTTAGCACACAAACAAACTTAGACACCTACAGTGAAGCTACCGATTTATCAAATTGTCATGTTGATTTATACCGATTTATCAAATTGTCAAGGAAATCCATAACAAATAATGGTCAAAATGAATTGCTTTTGATCCCTTTTAATCATATTTCTAATAATTAATAAAAACATAATCATTTACCTTTTCATGATAAAAAAAAACATGTTCTCTTGGCCACCAATCCTTTTTCAAACTTTCCGCCACCAATCTTTTTCAAACTATCAAGCTGAAATAAATGTAATAAAAATTAGTGTAACTTAAATTTCTTTACAACATATTAAGTCTAACATAAGCTAGTTATTTTAGTTCATTTACAAATACTTTTCATTTAGATTCTAAACTAATAAACCAAATTTCAACAAACTTATTAAAAATTAAGATAATTAGATTACCAAATTAGTATACTCGGTTTTATTATGCAGTGTAACCACTTATATTATTATATTATGCATTATATTATGCACTTATATTATTATATTATGCAGTGTAACCACTTCATCCACTGATTCTAGCAACTTCACCCCAGTAGCCTGAAACTTAATTTCTATAACTTCTTTTGAAAGAACTTTTATTTCTGCAAGCTTGAGAATAACATTTTGCATCTCTACAAACAAGAATAAAAAGATTGATTAACATATTTAGCTCATAAAACCAAATAGCAAAACAATGAAATAACAATTTTTAAAATTCAAATTATGTTTGAGTAACTCAAACTAAAATTCCAAAAATACATGTAATTTTTTTTATTACTCCATCGCAGAAGTTGCCATAATATTTTGGAAAACCTACTTTTTAAATCATCTAAAACTTTATCTGTAGAATCAGACAAAGGCAAAAGAGGCAGATTGGAAACCTTATAAAAAATAATTTTGACTAAATAAACTACTTTGCAATAATAATCTAATAAAAAAAAATAACCCACTCAAGTTATAGTTAAACCCGCTAAAAATAAATTAAACATTCAAGTTTTACAGAAATTTTTATTTAATTTCGACAAATAAACAACAACAAAAAATATTCAGATTTATGTCAAACCGTTACTGATAACCACAGGTGGAGTTGTAAAAAAAAAAGTAATGACTCCGACTCCAGTTGTTGAAACTTTTTGATTACAACTCCAACTCCGACTCCAGTTGTTAAAATTTTTTGAGCACAACTCCGACTCCAACTCCAACTTCGATTACAACTCCAAAGCAATATTTTTGAAAAATATTTCAAATTCTTTTAAAAATATTACGGGATAAGTTAAAAATTTATTTTTTAACAAATTTATGAAACGTTCTTTGAGGTTTAGTATGAACATAACGTTAATTAAATGTTTTGTACATGCACTTACAATACCGAGAAGTTTTACTATTGGAGTCGGAGTCGCGATTTTGTTTAGCGACTCCGACTACGATGAAAATGTCTCAACTCTGCAACTCAGACTCCAAAGCCCTGGTGATAATTTTCGTGTAATTTTCTTTGGGCTTGGCTCCGGAGCAATTCTTGATATTTCCTCCAGTAAAAGGTTACAATATTAATGAATTTTGTTTAACTACTAAAGGTAAAGTTGACCAAATGCTACACACATGATTTATCAGACCACAATATTATGAATAATCCATTTCTATTCTTTTATACCTATCTTTTACAATTATTTTAAAACAAAAACAAATTAATAAAAAAGATCTTCACATTAACATTCAGTGGTGTAAAAACCAAAACTACTCACATTAAAACTTGAAACTCTTTGACAATGTGAACCTTGCTTGGTTTTATTGTGTTCATCAATAAAATGTGAAGAAAAAACATCTTTAATCTATGAATCTGATAACAACTCTATTCAAAAGAAATAATTATAATTAGAACTATAAATAATCCCTCAACCATACCTGTTACTTAATTTAATCTTTCAACCAATTTTGTACTCTTTGAATTTCTGAATTCAAACAATTTCAGCATGCTTTCAATCAATTTTCAATTTTCATATCAAGTTGATTAAAGGATAATTTAATACAATAGAATGTTGCCAATGATATAAATATATGTAACCAATTTAACAACATTACATATAATAGGACACCCAAATAGTTAAAATAAAAAGAAAACCTTAGTAATACGTAATAAAGACTAATAGCTAGATAGATATTATTCAGATCAAATTAAACAAGAATGTATTTGAGTTTATAAACCAATAAGAAAAAATTATGATATTTGTGTTATACTTTTAGCATTGGGCTTATTCATAATAGGTGGCGGAGGTTCTGGCAATGAAGAGCGGTATGATTTGTTATTCTTATTTTTAATGCTTTCTTTAACATATATCTCATCTGATGTAGAAAGTTGTATTATTCACAACATGAAAATGAATTTAATTATAAAACATTTTGCTACAAAAAAGTAATTAAGTTACCTTTAAAAAAAAACACAAAACAAGTTGATACTGACCATCTGTTATCTTAGACTTTTTCAATGGAAATTTGTGCCATTCTTTTGTTGACGAAAGGTTGTTTTTCAGTGCATGATTATAGTTTTTTTTGGGACAATAAATTTGTTGCTATTCTTTGTCAATCCACTTGTTTAGTGCAGCATTACTTGGTTAGAAAAACTTGGCAGAAAAACCTTCCTTTAAAGTTGGGTTATGCTTATACTCATTAGGCTTTTGGTCATAAGAGTATTCATTGTACAAAATCGATGATTTATGATGGTCAAAGATATATATATATATATATATATATATATATATATATATATATATATATATATATATATATATATATATATATATATATATATATATATATATATATATATATATATATATAAATATATATATATAATATATTTTTTGTAAATGCAATGCATTTTAGTAAAGCTGCACCGAGCAGTGTACGCCTTAGGGATGAATAATAAGTTAAAAAGAGTTTAGCAGAGTGAGATAAAAGAACAAAAGGACAGATGTCCAGTGGAAAACACAGAGCCTCAAAGTAGAAAAAGATTAAAAACTGATGAGTTAAGTGTAGTAAAAAGTAAATAAGAATAATAAACAACATTCAAAGAGAGTCATTAGTTGTTGTGCTACTAAATTTTTGTTAGAGTCCAGCGTAAATGAATTGGTAGAATTATTCGTTTTATAAGTAGTAACCATGTGGTATGTGTTATTAGGATGATAAACATACATTATAGATATAAGTGTCATGAACGTCTCGAGTACAGTATGGATTCGTGCCTTATGGTGCAGTATGAACACATGGAAACCTACAGCTTTCATCCGAGACTGGTGTCCCAAAAGAAGTTCCACTCTGGGTCTACACCAGGGTATCTTTTTAAAGGAATCCCATTGTGTTATCCCAAAAGGACTAATTTTAAAAGATAATGTAATTTATATATATATATATATATATATATATATATATATATATATATATATATATATATATATATATATATATATATATATATATATATATATATATATATATATTATATATATATATATATATATATATATATATATATATATATATATATATATATATATTAATTACATTATCTTTTATTCTAGAAATAAAAATATCAACTTGAAAATATTAATTTTATAATATTTCTGTAAAATAAAATTCAAATCACAAGGATTTCAGAAAACATGCTAAGCATCAAATTATTGAAATATTTTGTGAACTATAATAGCATGTTATTTTATTATTTAAAATTTATCAAAAGAAATAATCATTAATGTCTTTCAGAGTTAAAAGCTTAATGCTTTTTTCGAAATAAGTCTCCGCATGGATTTTAAATGGCGGTCATTTATAATTATCGCTCCGTAAAATTAGTTAAAAATTTTTTCTTTTTTTTTTAACAAATCTATGAAATACATCTTATAGACATCTAAGTTTAGATGAAAAAAAAATTATCTATGCACGATCTATTTTATGCATCTAATATGCATCTAAAACAGAGCAAAAATAGTATCTCTAGAATCAGACGTCTTTTCTATCTCTAATATACGTCTAAAATATACGTATCGGCAATAGATACAAATTAGACCAATTTCAGACAGTCTAAAAGGCGTCTATTGTTTGCTGTGTTTTTATTTATATATTTACCGCAACAACAATTATATTTTTTCGGCTTTTCTCCTATCTTAAAATATAATAAAGAAATATCTTTAGGGGGTTTTCATTATTAAAAGTTTAGTGTTTCCAATATCGCCATAAAGAAGAAGTTATTTTAGTGCATGTTTTTTGTCTAAATATTTTAATCTATCTATTCTATTTTTTGTAAAATAAAAACTTTTTAAGACCTCCGTCATTATATATGCGTAATTTAAACCGTTGTAATTGTAGTAAACTGATATGTTTACAATACTCATAGTAGTCATTCATAGTAGTTACTATGTAAACATAGTATTTAAACTATAACCATAATAATCAAATAATATGACTGTTTAAACCAAGTTCTCTTATCTGACTTCCAAAACTTTGCTTGCAAAAGTCAGACAGTATTTCGTCTAGGTATCTACATTGTAAAGATGAATAAGAAAACTGTTTAAAACATTAGCCCGTAGGCACGGGACCTAAAAAACACGTCTTTTTTACGTCCTGTGCCCTCAGAGTATATTTATTATAAGGACTCAAAAAACATCTCTTTGCTTTGAACTAAAGTTTTGCTATATTAAGTGAAAAAGTATAGTTTCTATTATAAATATTATATTTCATTTTTTTAATTATCAACATGCAGTAGCAAATATACGAGTTGTATCAGAACTTACAAAACTTTGTAAATTCAGTAAGCTTTTAAATCCCATCTTTGCAAAGATGGGACTTAAACCTTTTAATGACTTCCCAGTGGGTACACTGAAGTCCTAAGGACGTTCATAAGGTGTTTCAATTTACGTCGATAAGATGTCCTTAGCTGGCCTCGGGTGAAAGACGTCAATTCCAGACGTCCTAACGAGGTGTTTTCAAGATATCCTAGAGACGTTTTTTGCAATCGTCTCTAGGATATCTTGTTTTTACTATTTAAGTAAAAACTCTATACAGCTTTATTAATAGCCTTAGGTTTTAGTAAGATGAAAATTTATGTTTAAACCGAATCAGCAAATCATTACATCAGTTTAATCAGTGAACTATTCCTTCTCAAAGATAGACAAAACAAATTCATCTCATAATTTTTTAAACCAAACATTCTTCTTTGCAGGTTCATTTTGAAACAAAACCTTTTGTTTATTGTTTTCTATATTAGAATTATTAGAATTAGATTATTTGAATTTTTTAAATCAATACACAACAAACAAACCTCACTTACACAACGACACATTTATGCCTATTTCTAGCAATTACCTTTCAAATTAAAATGGTATAGATAATAATAAGGCAAAAAGTCTCGTTTTAAAATGAGCCTTCGAATTCAACCACGCATTATGTGATTTAAAAATTAGAACAAAAATGCCCTCAAAATAGACTTTAAATAACTCCATAGTTAAAAAAAGTAAATATTTGAAAAAAAAATCACTTTGATATATTTACGATTATGTGTTATAAATTGATTTCAAATTTCATGAAAATATATTTTGGTACTAAAATGACACGGCAATATAAAGTTTAGAAACTCTTAATATTTTGAACGTTCCAGTTTAAAAAAAGGGTCAAAAAATAAAATAATTTTTATTTTGCAGTTTTTGATTTGCTTTAAACAATTTCTATCTTGTCTAGTGTTTAACTTAACCATCTGAACATATATGAACTGCAATGAAAAATACTTGAGCATGCTCAAATTACACAAAAACGGTGTCTTTAAATGAAGTCAAAACTAAATGTTTCTATGCAATTTTTTTCAAACAAATACGAAACGGATATCTAGCTAACATATTTTTCTTTTTGAAAAATTAAATATTATTTATTTAGCATCAAAATTTCGCGCCACTGATTTATTTATGCGCGATGATAATATTTTAACAATTGCAAAATAAGTTAAAATATATCAAATAAAATTGAAAGCGTTTTAACTAGATGAGAGCCGCTAAATACTGCATATAAATTTACGCTAATTATACTAATTTCTGTTATCACCACATAAAGTCGATTCAAACAATACAAAGCAACTTTAACTTCACTGCTCACATCTTAGAAATTTTTTATTATGCTCATATTACCAAGGTGCTCATATTACCAAGGTCATAATAAGGCTCATAATCTACCCTAATCTACCCTGTTGAGTTTACTCTAACTTTTTTTGTCAAGTGATATTTTGTAAAATTGCTTTAGGTTTTAAAAATTTTTTTTTTAATATTATTATTTTGATTGTATCAAATTTTAAATAATGAAATTATTTATTTAAGTAATTTCATTATTTGAAATAATCAAATAATTTATATAAATAATTTCAAATAATGACATTATCTAAAATTCGATATAACCAGTGCTGAACTGTGGGTGGGCGTAGGGGGTTTGGGAAGTCATTATTTTGACCAATAAGATGGTTAAAAACATCAGTCAAAGTATCACATGACAGAATTAAATAACAGTACACATGTGAGTATAATTTTGTATTTCTAACAAATGTTATATGAAACAAAAGCAATATAAGTCAGACAACATGTATTCTTCATTAAAAGAAAAATCCATTTTTTTCAACTCTAAAATTTTAATATTTTTGTCTACATTACTATTACAAGTTTGTATTTGTGTATTGATTTGTCAAGTGCAATTGCGTGCTTACATTGCAAACGAAAATTTTCCAGAAATACAGAGTATACAACGTAGTATGCAACGTAGTATGCAAAACAATCTTAATCGTAATCATGTAAGTTTAACAGGGTTAAAAGTATCTGTTAAATGTTATTCTAGACCAAACCTACGGTATATATATATATATTTAATAAAATATTTACAATAGTACACCAGTAAGAAGTAGATTTAATAAAGTTTCGTATCTTCCACGTATAATTTGGACTGCTTTTTTATTTTTATAAATTTATTCTAAATAGACTTTTATATCATTAAATACTTGACGAGTAGTTTCAAAAATGGTTCGGGGAGTTTTTTTACAGTTCTTGACAATGTTTGTTTGATATTTTTATTTTTATTTTATTTTAGCTTTATTGATGATAATATTTGTTTGACATTTTTCCTAAAGTATACAAAATAGTTATTTTGCTTCCCGTTTATCGATTATTCTTATATCTTATGTACTTCTACTTTGCACCACCCATTGCACCGTACCTACCCTAATCCTACCATCCAAACCCACTAGGGTGTTTCGATTTTCCCTTTTTTTTTTTTGAAATTGTAAAAGTTGTATTTTTTATTTTAACGAATTTTTAAAAACTTGGAAAAAATATTAGTTTAAAAATATGATGATGACTTTTCTGAAAAAAGAAGATGTAAGAAAAAATAAGAAGTGTTTCCTGAAGTGGGCAATTAACTTTTCCAAGAAAAATTTAATAAGCTTAAAAAAAATCTTTCATTATTATTTTTTCCAAGTTTTGATTACTACTTCCAATAAATAAAAAACTGCTCCTTTTACAATTTCAAAAAAATAAAGGAAAAATCGACACACCCTACTAACCCACCCACCCAACATTTTACTTCCGGTAAAGTCTCTAAATATATATCTCATGTAAGTGTTTCACTTCATTTCATATAACTATCGATTTATTACATTTCATTTTTATAATTTTTTGTTTCATATTTTATAGTTTTAAATCCTTTTTTATTTTTTATTATTTTATAGTTTTAAATCATTTTTAATTCAGTTTAAATTACGTTTATATTTATGAACTAAAAATGTACAAACCTATTTTTTTAGGTCAATGAAATCATTGTGTTAGGTCCAAAAAATCAGAGTTTGTCAACCTTGACTCAAAATCTCGACTCAAGTTTAGTTCCAATAAAATATGATATTAATGGTAAATTATATTTTTACTTTTTTATTATTGCACTAAACCCGAAAAGAGTTTAACTATTTTCAACTTTACATTTTATCAAAATAGATATTAATAATTACTTAATCGGGCATCCGAGGTTCCAAACCAGCTCCGGTCATCTTTGCAAAACCTGTAAGAAAGGAGGCGTGAACTAATTAAGTTCCCTTCTGCAGCGTTCAAGAGAATACCGTAAGGTTTTCTTAAGGCACATTAATAACCAGATAAAAAAAAATAATAATAATAGTTCCTGTAAAATTTAATATCAATTGGATAACAGAAATTCATGCCCTAAACTTCTTTACCTTCAAGCACTGCAAATTTGTAGCAATAAAGTTTTGTTAAGTTCCGCATAACTTTGCATAAATTATGCACACATAAGGTTTAATTTCTAAAAAAGTACGACAAGTATTTTTTATAGTTTTAAATCATTTTTTATGATTCAGTTTAAAATTCTCTTATACTCATCAACTAAATATAGACATTGCGGTAAAACTATTATTTTGTCAATGAGATTATGGTGTTGGGTCCGAAACTTCTTAATTTGTCAACCTTAACGCAGAAACTTAACTTAGGCTTTAAAATTAAAATTTTTCTTTATCAGATTAGGGATAAATTCTACGAACGTTTTTATTTTTCATTTTATACATGACAACACTTAAAATAGTTCTTTTAAACAAAAAAATAATAGTTGTAAATTTTAAAACTGATATGATAATGACTAATAATAATAAAGACCTTTTAATTTATTATTATTTGATAATAAGTGATTTTTATCATAGTTTCATACTGATACTATTATAAAACACTGATACTATAGTACATTTTTACACTGATACTCTATTTAAACAATACTTTAAACTTTATAATACTGGGTTTTATCAAAAAAGTATTTATCTCAAAATTAAGAAGTCTAAATAGTACGTGAGACATGTATTATCTTTAGAATAAAGGTGCGATTTGATTATTACACATATATTTCAGGTTGCTTAACATTAATTACAACAATCCAAATATCTCAATTATAAGACAAGAGCTAAATGCAAAGAAAGTAGCGTAACTGCAAAGAAAATTCAGCGCATGCCGCATTAGTTTAAATACTTTAAATTTGCGGGCATGCGGAAGAAGTTAATCTGGCTGTAGCGTTATCGAACTAACGCTACAGTGTATTTGTGTAAACATTCTATACAAATAATTTATAAATAAACTAAACAACTTTTTTAATAAGTTTTTAAAACATTTTCACAAAATAAATCGAAAGTGATATTGTTATAACTTATCCTATTCATACCTTTTTATTTACAATAGTATCATAATTCTTTATTTGAACATTTATTTCTAGAGTTTTTTCGGTTTTCAATACTGGTATTAAAAATCCGTATTGAACTAAACTTCTTAAATACCGAAACCGTTTCACAGTTGTTTGGTTTTCGAAATTTTAATATGGTCTAAAACATAAAAACAGCAGCGTACTGTTTTTTTTTTAATTGTTTTTTTATTGTTTTTTTTTTTTTTTTGTAATATCTCGATCTATATAGTTTAAATAGTCATCAGACGCAAAATAACTCGATCTATTTTATTAAATTGTCATCAGACATAAAATACAATTACAAAACCTGTGAATAAAAAAAATCGTTACAAAATCAAATGTATTGAAAACCATAAATAAGACCATACAAAAACCAGTTGGTTTTAAGTTTCTTAAATTGTGATAAACCTATTCATATGTTCTCAAAACTGTAGGTTCTCCAAACATGCTTTAATGCCATATTCACTCCATGATGCAAAAAGCTGTTAGTAAATAAACGAACTTTTGTGTTGAATACATTTCCAGCCGGCATTTGGCACGAAAAGTCGTCTTGTAAACGTTCAGAAGATTTTCAGAATATCTTTTGAACGTTTAAAAGACGTTTTTTAGGGACCAAATGCCGGCTGGGTTACTTCGCTCATTTGATACACTTTGATACATTTGTTACTTTGCTCAAAAACTGTTGTTTTAATAGTCGACAACAGTACTTTACTCAGCAACTTATGCTATTGTTACGATTCTAATTGAACTTATAATAAAATGGAATTCATAACAACACACCCATATCTGGTTCATTTGTTAACAGTAATATTTGCATACACCAGTTGTTGCTGCCCACTTTATTGTTTTACTTACTTTAAATGCAATTTTTTGTTGTTGTTGACTTTTTTCGGTTTTTTTTTCTTAAAATTTAAAGCATTTTGGCACAGAGCTAATTCTTATTTCAATAAAATAAATGTTGAGTTCATTTTTTGCTTCGTTATATGGAATAAGCTTTATTTTATCTTTTTATGTTTATGCTTTGTCGCTAAAAATTTCCATTCTGTTAATGCAATTATTTCTGGGGCAGAAATTAATGCTTTAACAAAATTTCAGCAGAAAGAGCAGATGTACTTATTAAAGGTAAATCATGTTGCACCATTTTTTATCCTCTGAGAAAACATATGCCTTTGAACACTCTCTGATTTGTGTATGCTTATTATCTAAAAGAGCTATTGCACACGCGGGGTCAAGTAGACACGCGGCACTTGGCAGTAAATTAAAATTAGGATTGTTTGGCTGCAAAAGAACGGCAAAACGACGGCGTAGATCTGCAAGCCTTTTAACTGCTACATTATTAGCATCTCCAAATTGCTCAAGGTGATATTCTAAACTAAGTATCGAAGATTCAACACTGGATAAAGAAAGTGCATCCGTCTGAAGAATATCAGTTTAATTGGCAAAAGGTTCTAAAAGATTTACAAAACCCTGAAGCATTATCCTTTTGCTATTGGCAAGTGAATCAATGTTAAGGTTATCAAGTACTTCGTTAATAGATGTCTTTATTCAGAAATCTTCAATATCTCCAAACCGTAAAGTAATTGCTGTTCCATCTTGTAGAACAGTCGCTGATTACAGTCTTACCATATTTGTTGATAATTTTATCCAATGCAACAGAAGATTTGCGAGTTTTTCCAACTAATCCACGTACCTTCAAAAGTAAGCCATTATATTTACTATCATATGCAAGTTTTACAACTACTTGTATAACATGTGCAAAGAATTTTTAAATGCTACGTTTTCAACTATCAAGTCAACTTGTTCCCACTCTTCACTATTTGTCATATTCTCATAGTCTTTCGGATTTGTTATCTGCTCTTCATTAACCTCATTTTCTAATTCAATAAGTATATCACGTTCAGCTTGAGCTGAACGTGATATACTTATTAAATTAGAAAACTTTCATTTTCGGCAACTTAATGTCATTGATCATATTTGCTCCATTGTCCGAAATAACAATCAATATTGTTTCTTTGGAAATGCTCCAATACTTTAGGCATTTTTCAAAACAATTAGCAATTTGTTCACTTTTATGTTTTCACATTATTTATTTGTTCACATTGTTTCACAATGAATAAATTAAGCAGAGTATGTATTGGTTTTTCGGATTTGCAGTGAAAAAAAAAATTCCTCAAAAGGACGCAGTAAGATCTTTTTTAGTCCATCCATCAAAGCATATTGTGAAGCGCCTGCCTTCAGATATGAGGTCATGATATTTTCTCGTTAAAAAAGTAAGTTCTTCATTAATTAGGTTAATAGTTTTGGCAGAAGCATGCATTGAAAATTTAAAATCCAAGTTGTTAACAAACTCTCTAAAACTTGCATTATCCTCCAAAGTCACTGGATTACATGTTATCCACCAAAGTCACTGGATTACATGTTATACACCAAAGTCACTGGATTACATGTTTCAATTATCATTTGAATAAGAGAGTTAAGTTAAAAATTTAATGCTCGGGGGAATTGGTAAGCCATGCTGTATTTCTACGATTTATGCATTAAAATAACGACTGGCTTTGATTTGAGGACGATTCTAAACGAGTGGGTTCACTTTTATCCGCTGCTTTTCTATTTATCCCTGTATGCTTTTTTTCACTTTTTTTTTATTTCCGACTCTTCCAGCTCAACGTGTACAGACTTAAGGTTTCTCGCTAAATGAAGCTAGAAAAACATAAGCAATTTGGTATAACTTTTTGCTTGTATATTTATATTTTATTTATGTATTTATCAACCTATATAATTAAGTTTGTATACCTTATTAAATATTTACTCCAAAATGATAAAAATGAGTCGTTTCTTTCAAAATAAAAACAATTACTCAAACAGATTAAAAAAAAATTTGAGATTCTTTCCACACAACTTTATACTACATACTTTTACAACATTGAGTAAGACCAAACATACTGATTTGTCGGAAGACGCATCGTAGTTAATCTGAACTATTACTTTTTCTACCAGCGCAAACTTTACTCAAACTCATCGCGTGTTTGTGTTTTTTTTAATTTGATTTTTTTCATAACATAATAATTATATATCAAATAATTCAACTCGTTTCAAAACTAGAACGAAAATATTTTCTTTTTAAAATAATTTTAAATTCATTTTTTATTCCGTTATGACCTCAAATCAGCGAAGTAAATCAAATAATTTTGCATTAGGGGTATACCGGAATAGAAATTTTAAGTTCCGGCCGGGACCAGACATTATTACACTCAAACCCATCGTCTCAGAGATCAGCCAAAAAATTACGCGTTGCTTTCATAAATTTGATGGCCACGGAAATATTCATATGAGGTTTCTGCGGTTCTTTGGTCACTGTTCAGTATCATTAGCAGTTCATGTCAAATAACAAGTAAAACGATAAACGGAAAGGAAAAATGTTGTCTACTAAGCTCTGTTTTTCAAAAACTGTTGCACTGCCTTTCGTGTTTTCACAGATCCCGAGCTAAGTATTATAAACTTCTTTGAGTTGGAAACACTAATCTTTTGTGCAATCAACTCTACATTCCCAACGGGTTTTGGACAATCGCTTTATAACTAGCTGGCAATGTTGATTATATATTTTCTACCGATGAGTAGATAATGAATAAAACACATAAAGACTTTGTAGCAATCCAAAGAATGACGTAGCTGTAGT